TTCCGGGATTTATATAACTCCTGGTAATTTTTCTTTAATGCTCTGAATTCACCATCAACTTTTTCTTTGTTTTCTCTCAACATTGCTCATTGTGATGAATGAAAGTCAATGTCAACACCCAACATAGCTTTATCTCGTCTTATTTGCTCTAATTCTCTGACCAATCTTCTCTTTCTGCTTCAAATTCAACTCTCAGGATTTCAATCTCTGATGGAACCACCTTAATGCGATCTTCCATAGAGATATCCTCATTTTGGTCTGGTAGAGGAATATTTTCATTTTTCCTGACAGATCTCCATTCCTCATAATCAGGAGTTAGCATTTCTTTTGCTGCTTTAGCTCGGATACAAAAAGTTGTTTTCCAAGCTGTAAAAAGTTGCTTTAGCTCAGATGAATGTAATCCAGCAGTGACAGGTACAAATTGACGACCTTCATACTGTCTTATGACCAGAAGTGGTGCATATCCAATTCCTCCCCACAATCCGAGCAGCATTATCCAGTTGTAATCACCACATTTGTAAAAGAATTCCCTTTGGATTTGCCACGGGGCTCGCCAAACAATATCATTGCTTTGCAGATTTCGAAAGGCATTAATCCACATATCTTTCTTAATTTCTTTCGGCCATTCTTTCTCCAGAAATTCTTTCAATGGTGAGTAGTCCGTATTAAAGCGTCGGTATGAAACCTTTTCTGTCCTCTAGAAATGGCTACGGATCCAGACATATAACAATTGGGTACACCCTGGGAATCTTCCACCTCCTAGCTTTCTACAAGCGTTTAATGATCTGAAAGTCTATGCTAGAATTGCAGATGCAGGATTAATCTTTTTTGGTAGCTGCTCAAACAAAGCTACTACTGCAGCTTCAATATATCCCAATACTTTTGGGAAGATGACCATACCATACATACCCAGAGCAAAGAGATCGAATCGTACTTTAGTGTCTGGATGACTCTGAATAAGTTCTTTAATGTTGGTCCAAGCAATGCCTTCGCTTTCGCCCTTTTGTTTTGTACGGGATGCCACCCATTCTTCTCGTACTCCAGCAATCTTTGCTAATTTAACTCGAAAAAGTTGAGTTTTAATTGACTTTGAATAAATTCGATTCTCCAAAGCCCCTTCTATATGTAGCAAAGTTGTGTACTCTTCAATAGTAGGGACCAAGTCCTCTTTATTGAGAGTGAAGCAATTGTACCCTGGATTCCAGAATTGAATTAGGGCTCGAAGTAAGTCCTCATCAACTTTAACATAGAGAAAATATGGGATGTCTCCGTAAGTCTGATAAAACTGAAACTTTTTGTTTGAGTCCCAACTTTCCCAAATGCTTCGCAAATCTTGCATATCATTTCTTTATAGCGAAACTGGAGCATAACTGGCCAAATCAGATACATAGTCATCTTGCAGACTGTCTCCTCCTTGTCTTTGTAAGTCTTCAGCCCACTGTCTTACTTCTGAGTTTAGAACTATTTGATTTGAACACTTTTTATCCATGGATGAAGGTTTTCCAATGAGACAATTAACACGAGGATCAATGTCTTTTATCCTGTATGATGCTATGCAAACAAAAGAAATAAAAAACACACAAAAAGAAATGAATTAGTTTACATAAAAAAATAATTTAATAATAATGTCTACCTAAATATCTTTACTTAAACATGCTTTATTCATACTTTAAATAATTTAAAATTCACATGCAATTTAATCAGTAAAAAAATAAAAAAATAAATTAAAAGGAAAGTTAGAATTCATTTCTCCTGTGTGTACACCTATTTTGACAAAATTTCGGCATGGCTTCAAATCGAAAGAGTTTCTAGGGTTTATTATATGCAGGGTTTCAGATCTAAGAATAAAGGTACCCAAATTGTCATTGTTAGTGCCCCCTTCGGCTGTTAACCCTCAATCCTAGTCCATCACAGACTAAAGTGGATCGAGTTCAATTCGAGGGGATACACTTCTCTATGCCTGACACGGAGAATAAATTCTCACGAAGACATAGAGCATATGAACCCCGAAAGTTACTTGCTAGGTCTGATACGGAGAATAAATTCTCACGAAGACGTCGCTTTCACTCCCACTTAAAAGGGACAAACTACATTATAGAGCTTTATGTTATGCAATGCAAGTGTTGTGTGTGAGGAGAAATGTTCAAACCTCTGACAGATAAATAATGAAATAAAATACTTGAAAAATAAAATGAAACATTAATAAAATAATACACATATAAATATTATGAAAATAATAAATATATAAAAATTTTGAAAAGAAAGAATTATAAATTAAATATATTTTTAAAATTTCTAATAATAGAGACAATTTATATTTGATTTTAAATGCTTGACCATGGTCCCCAGCGGAGTCGCCAAGCTGTCGTAACCGTATTTCGTCCGGGCACGAATTTTTTTTGGCGGGAAAAGTGATGTGAATAAATTAATGATTTTGATTTTTTAAAAAATATTTTGGGAGTCGCCATCGGCCTTTTGGGTCAGGTAGGTCGAATACCTAAAAATCATATTTTAAAAGAGCTTTTAAGAAAACATCGATTAAAAGATAAATTGATCTGCGTTTTAACCAAAAATTCATAATAAAAAGGGATTCGTGGTCGGTTACGTTTAGGGAAGGATTAGCACCCCTACAACGCCCAAAATTGGAACTTTTTAATTATAAATTGTCTCTATTATTAAAAATTCAAAATATATTTAATTTATTATCCTATTTAATTCAAATATTTTTAAGAAAATATATCAAACATAAATAAGATATTTACTTATTTAGAAATATCAGAAAAGGACTTCTAGGTGCCTTAAGACAGCTCTTTTCTTCGATATTAATAGATATTATAATAATTAAATTAAATTATAATTTTTTATCATAATATTTAATTTTAAAATACCAGAATAGGACATCCAGTTGTATTAAGACTGCCCTTTTCTTTGGTATTGAAAAATAAATAAATATTAAAATATGATAAAAACATAATTTATGTAAAATCAAATTAATATTTAATATACATTATTATTTATTATATATATTTATATGACTATATAATAATAAAAAATATTTAAATATAAACAAGTAAAATTAAAACATAAATAAACAATAATAAAAATAAAATTAGAACTATATATTTAAAAGTAGTAAAACTTTATAATAAATGAAAATATTTAAAATTAGTGACTAAATTATAATCTAATAAAATTAAATACCTAATTCGTAATTAATTATTTAAAATTATAGGGATTAAACATGCTATTCTCCTTATTTATTAATTTGGTGACTAAAATAAAATTATATAAAATTCATATATCAAATTAAAATAAATTGAAATATGCTGTTAGGGGTTTAAAATATCAATTATTAAAATTAAAGGACTAAATATGATATTTATCCTAAATATATTATTTTAATATAAAGGACTAAAATAAATAAAATTAAAGTTAAAGAACCGAATTAAAATGATTATAAATTGATTTAGTGACTAAAATGTAAGGATTACAAATTAGGATGGATGCGGAAAGGGTTTAACTTTTAGTTAATTACAGACAAACCCCTCCCCAAAACGGCGTCGTTTGGGGAGGGCTATTTAAGTCCTATAATCGGCTGGCCCGAAGGGCCAGCTTTCATTTCTCCTTTTCACTCTCTCTCTCTTCTTTGAGAGAGTTTTAAAAACTCTCTCGCTTCTCTCTAAAACAGAGAGAAGCACTGGCCGGCAGCCGTTCGCCGGCCACCGCATCCGGTGGTCGGAAAAAAAATTTTACACCTAAATATAGATCGGACCATCCTATTGATGGTTCCGATGACCTTTTCCCTTAAAACATTCCCGATCGGAGCAAATCTACGAAAATACCTTCGGTTTTCGAAGGTTTCCGATGACGTATGAAGGCTCCGGTGATGTTGCAGCTTCTTCAGTAAGTATCTCTCCATCTTCTCCTTGCTTATTTTGGTGTTTGTGGTTACTGGTTTGCTCATTTTTTTCTTGTTTTTTTTCTTTTTCTCTCTCTATTGGTTGCCGTGGTTGCCTTCTCTCCGTTTTTTTTTCTTTGCAGGTTGTCAATGGCTTTATAGCCATCACCGGTGTGGCTATCGGACCGGGTGAAAGAGTGGAGTCTGGTGAGTCACCGGACTTCCAGTGGTGACTCACCGTTGGGGCGACATGTGTGCGACTGGAGTGGCTCTTCTGGAAGCTTTCGACGAGACGTGTCAGCGGTGGAGATGGTGGGAGTAGCTGCGGCGGCCGCGTGGCCCTAAGGTATCATCACCCTAGGGTTTGTGCTGGATGAGTGTGGGCCGTTGGATCTGAGAGATCCAACGGCTGAGATTGAGGCGGCTGGAGCACGGGGCTAGGGTTAGAAAACCCTAGCTGAAACCCTAAATGTTTTAGGGTTTCCATCTGGTTTGGGCCAACTGGTAGTTTGTAACTGGGCCGGTCTAGTTTTCATTGGGCCTGTAATTATTTTTTAATAATAATAATGATATATATATAATAATAATAATAATAATTATTATTATTATTATAATAAATAAATAAATAAAATGGGTAAAAAATTAGTATCTTCACCAAGTACTTGCAAGCCATAGGTTTTACTTAAAATATCTAATGCAAAATCATGGCAGCTTTTCTAAAGGGTTATCACTTAACATGGGGTTTATTAAGAATGGGTATGTCGGAAATAGTATTACTATATTTAAATTTGATTTAAATTTTATATTCTTTACTCATTATTTGATCTGGTTCAGATTTAGAAAGTTGGTAAAATAATTTCAAGAAATGATTTTCAAATCTATTTTCAATGAAACAAACTAAGTTGTTTCCTGTTCGGTGCATAGCCATTGAAATCAATGAAATGTAATGTTTCTTCAAACGCTGCTGCATGCATCGGTTTTAAACAGAAGAATATCAGGAAAAAAACACATTCGAATGTGAACAACAGAGAAAAATAAGATCAATCGTTACATGGTATTGATTTCTAACAAGAAAACCGTTTACATTTCACAGAGTTGAGATTTATTTTGCAGTATTTCCTTCTTGATGTAGATAAGATGATTCAAGCAAACAAGGCAAAACGAGAGGCGATAGTAGAGGGATGGGATCTTTACTTTGATAGAATGAACCAAATGAAGTTGAAGATGTTGTTGCTGATGATGATGACGACGACGACAAAGCCTTGAGATCGGCATTAGGCTTAATCTGCAACGGACGAGGGGCGCGCCTTTGAAGCCTGCTGAGTGGCCTTCTAAATACCCGTTCATCTTGGTGAACACCAATTTGGAACCCTGGGAACTCAGAACCAGATTCTTCCATTATCTCTCTATCTGCTCTTGTTCATCAGATCTTTCCTTAATGGATCTTAAGCAGACAAAATATATATTATAAAGTTTTTACATAGCAGATGTCTTGCTTGCTTGTTTCAGTATGCATCCATACTGTGTGATCTGAAAGCATGAAATGGTGTACATGTGGAGAGATGGGGTTCCTGATAATTAAGAACTTGCATATGCATATCTGCCATGTGAGGAAGGAATATCAATGCATACATTTCAGTGACAAGATCCACATATGCACATGATACTTCAATAGATTCATTTAATTAGTAATTTCCCATTGCCTTTTCTTTCTTTCATTCTTTTAACCTTATCATCTTCTAGTCCAATACCTTCTAGCTAAGGTTGTAAAATCAGGTAATCGGACAGATTTCAGTCGAATCTTGGCAGGTCGGGTAAAATCAGGTATAGGTCAACTCAGGTTGATTTGACACCAGATCCAGATCGGGTTCAGGTCAGGTCATTTTCAGTTCGGATCGATGTCAGTTCAGGTCAAAACAGTTCAGGTCTGAAGCAGATAAAGACCAGGTTAATTCAGGTTCGGATGGACTTCAGTCGGATCTCGTTCAGATTGGGTCACATCATTGAAAGATAAAATTCATGTCGGATGTTTATCGGATACGAATTGAGTTCATATCGGTCGTTTTTATTTTTGGATTAATTATTTTGTCATCTTTCGTGATTGTTGAATTGCAAGTTGTAATTGTATATGATTTCGAGTAAATTAAGAGAAAAATAAATATCCATGGATCAATTTTGTAAAAAATATAAATTTAAGGACGAAATTTAAGAAATGTAAAATTACGAATAAAATTTTAAAATATAAATTAAACAACACATATAGGTAAGGGACTAAATTGAAATAAATTTAAAATGTGAGGTTTAAATTAATATAAAAAGGACTAAATTAAACACATTTAAAAAGTTATGGGTCAGTTATAAAAATATAAATAACAACTAACAATGGGCCAAATGAAGATGCAAATATAATTTTAAGGACTAAATTGAATACATATAAAAGTGAAAGACTTAAAATTGATATAAATTAAAAAAAAAGGATTAAATTGAAATAAATGCAATATGAGAAATAATGAAAAATATAGTAAATTGTATTCATTTAAAAAATTGAAAAAATATAATATATATATAATATAAGTTTATATATAAACTATATATACAAACTATATAATTATTATAAATTATATATATAAATTATGTTTATATGAACTATAGATATGAACTATAGATATAAACTATATATGTAAACTATATATATGTAAAATATATATGTATAAACTATAAAAAGTATATAGTTTATAAACTATAATTTATATTAATATATATATATATATATATATATTATTCAAAGTGAGTGGTGGGAGAAAACTTTTTAAAATAAAGATTTTTTGTGTGAATTTTATTTTATTTTATTAGAAAATTTAGAGGGAAATTGGGAAATTTAGAGGGAATAGAAAATTTTGGAGGGAAATTGAGAATTGAGATTTTATTTGGAAAGATATTTTAGGTTAATTAGACTCATGCTCCTCCAGCAATCATCATTTTTGTACTTGTATTTGATTTTATATTTCTTTTATTTTAGTCATGGTTTAATTGTAGATTATATATGTATAATATAAGTTTATATATAAACTTTAAATAGTATATATATATGTATGTATAACTAATATAAGTAATCTATATATATATATATATATATATATATATATATATATATATATATATTATGTATAACTAATATAAGTAATCTATATTATATATATATATATATATATATATATATATATATATATATATATATATATATATATATATATATATATATATAAAACACTATGCATAAACTATATAAAGTAATAAAGTATATAATTTATAAAAACCTTAAATTGTGAACCCTAAACCTTTAATCCTTAACCCTAAACCCTAACATGCAAAATAAATACTAATTATGCAAATAAAATTAATATGACATGTACTACTATTTATGAACCATATAATATGCAATGTGACATACTAATTATTTAACACATAATTAATCATGCTCTATATAATTTACATTTAAATAATTTTATTAATTTTATTAAATAATTTCATATAATATGTAGTATAAATCATGTATAGTATATATAAAAAATATATATATATAACCTATATATATATAAACTATATAAAGTAAATTACTTATATAGTTTATAAAACACTATGCATAAACTATATAAAGTAATAAAGTATATAGTTTATAGAAACCCTAACCCTAAACCCTAAATCATAAACTCTAACCATAAATACTAAACCCTAAACATAAACCCTAATATATGTATTACATGCATATATGTATATATGCATAATGAGTGTATTAATGTATGTGTATCATACATAAAAAAATAGATCGGTAAATAATGAAGTTATAATTTGATTTTATGTATGTATGCATGTATGTATGCATGTATGCATGTATGCATGTATGCATGTATGCATGTATGCATGTATGCATGTATGCATGTATGCATGTATGCATGTATGCATGTATGCATGATGCATGCATTACATAAACTATCGTGTAAATAAGATTAAAAATTTAATATTTTAATAGATATTTTAATTTAAAAATATTATAAAAATATTTTGATGTGTGTATATGATACATATGTTATATGCATATATTATGTATGTATATATGTATGTATGATGCATGTTTAAAATTTTAAGCTTTTTATTTTAAATAAATTTTAAAATTTTATAAATGTGGTACATGTCAAAGAACAATTTTTTAATAATCGTGACGGATCAAAATTTAAATTTTTATACTCTTTTTATTAATTAATTTGATTCAATAAAATGTAAAAAAATTATAAAGAAAATTATAAAGTAAAATGATTTGTTCACAAATTTAAAGCCAACAAACATTATTAGACTTTGAAATTCCAAAAGTATGATTGCATTTTACAATAAAGATACCGTGCATAGAAATATAGGGAAAATGCTATAGAATATTTAATAATGTTGCGGGTTAGGATTACTAGATGCTTAACTCTTGGATTCTGGATTAACTAATAAATTATTTTTTATTGGTTCTTGAATGCGACTGTAAATAGCAATTTATGGACCTTCATGCATTATTAACTGTACTCCACAACCCTTGGTCCACGTAGCTACACATACCAACATGTTCAATTATTATATAAGGTTTGTAAATATAAAGGTTGAACAGTGACACATTCAGCCATGCCTCTCGCATGCCTTGGGTTCCTTTCATCAAATATAATATTCATACTTGTTATTCAATACATATAAACTTGGAAATTGGACTATAGGATGTTCGGCTTTATTTTACGATTTTTGATGGGTTTTTAATAATTTAATTAATTTTTTTTGTAATTCATTTATTGATTCAGTCTGATTTATTCGTATTTATTTTTTGTTCGAGTATTTTGGTTGAGTTCTTAACCTTTTCTATGTATGATTCTTATATGATCTAAAGTGATTAGTTTCAATGTTATTAAAAAATGTTTAAATTGTGTATTTAATTTACAATGATCGTTGTAAACCATTATTATAATTTTGGATATCTTCACTTTTTGATAAGACTAGCGATTTTTATTAAACTAATTAGATTATAGTGTAAATAATTAATATGTATATATGTATGATTTTATGATATGTATGCATGTATGTATGTATGATGCATGCATTACATAGACTATAGTGTAAATAAGATTAAAAGTTTAATATTTTAATAGATATTTAAATTTAAAAATATTATAAAAATATATTGATGTGTGTATGATACATATGTTATATGCATATATTATGTATGTATATATGTATGTATGATGCATGTATTAAAATTTTAAGCTTTTTAATTTAAATAAATTTTAAAATTTTATAAATGTGGTACATGTCAACGAACAATTTTTTAAACTAAAACATCTATTAAAATATATTGATGTGTGTACATACATATATGTATGATTCATAATTCATATTTTATTATAACATTTAAAAATTAATCATATTAATTAGTATGATTTATTATAAACTCAAAATCTCACAATTTTATTAAAATCTTATTTTTCATCAATGGTGATATATAAGTCATGTAAATATCAGATCAGATCAATAACAAGTCAGATCATTTACAGGTCGGGTAATACCAGTTATTTACCAGGTCAATCTCGGGTTCGGGTTCATATCAATCAGATGCAGGTCGGGTTCGGGTATCATATTTTCGGTTTAATTCAGGTTCAGGTCATTATCAGGTCGGGTTCAAACACACAATTTCTAAGTCCAACTCGAGTTCAGGTCAACACCAGTTTCGACTTGAGTCGGTTTCGGATCGCTACAACGCAGGTTAAAAACAGTTTTGACTCGAGTCAGTTTCGGTCAGTTTTTCAGATCGGGTCAACTTTTTACACCCCTACTTCTAGCCATGGTTTTCTTCACCATCTTAGAACTCACGGCACTGAACTTGACATTTAAATTGAGGCCACACGCATAAATGGGTGGTCTATGAGCATGGTTTTCTTTTTAAATGGAGTCAAAGTGAATATTATTGCTTCTAAATAAAGTCAACTATATTATATGAAATTGTACTCAAGTGTGAGATTTAAATTAAGTTAAATTTGTAATCATAATTTAGCAAGAAAAAGAGAAGTGAGCTTTCTTCTTTTAAATACGTAACTAACTCTCAAATCTGATTTTTACTCTTGACTTTTAAAGATGTGGTTTTGAGCATAGAGAGAACATGTGATTTTCAAAGATCTTTTTAAAAAGTATATTTTATAGGTATTCAATCATACATAATTCAAAACAACTGAAAATGATTTTGTTTTGTCAAACCGTGTATATTTTCGCAGAAAATATTTTTTGAACTACGATTTTCATAATATTGAATATAATGAATGCTATTGCTGTGGATTGTGATAAATATAGAAGAAAATTGTTGAAAAAGAGGAAGATAGT